AATTGTACGGTTTTAACACTAGTTTCAAAACTGTAACGTCAGTAACAAAATCAAGCCTCTTGATTAAACGTCTGTCTCCAAACAAATTTCAGAAAAAAGGACTTGAAAACTATTTTTCATCATTAAACTCAAAAATATTCTTCATGGGATTCGAACCAGCGTAATCAAAATCTCAGCCAATTTTAAAACCAACTCAGCTAAAGGTGGGTAGAGAGACAGTAACAACAAGGGGTTGCGCCAAAAAGTAGGATCTAGCACCACTGTGTAAGAATCTGGGGATGAAAAGATGTCTGTTAAAAATGCTGCTTAAGTACGAATGTAGGATTAAGTAGGAGTTTACTTGTAATTTTCTTTTTTTCTTTATAAAAAAAAAATCGTTTCTTGCTTTTTTTTTTAATTTACATTTTTTTACGAACACATCGACACAAAGAAAAGAAGTGAAGAAAAAGATTCTGCTTCATCATCATCGTCACCTTGAAAATCATCACCATTGTCCTTTTCATCATTATTGCCATCACCAGTAACATTGATGCGTCAAGAGCGTCTATGGCATAGCGGTTAGGCTCTAGGTTGCCGCACGCAGAACACATGGGTTCGAATCTCGTAAGGGGAAAATTTCATTGAGTATCTCGTTTTTTCTGCCCTTCCCTCAGCCAGAGTTGACTCTTGCAGACAGGGTCAAAGACTGCCTTCTAAATTAACTATATTTTTTCGACGGAGGAATATAAACACTTACATTTAAATTTTTAAAACGAAAGAAAAATCAGTGTATCGATGTGGACAGAAAACATACATTTCCAATTGGCTGTGGTTTCACTTTCCAAAGTCAGTTGTCAATCTATTGAGTCAGTGAACTTAAATTATAAACGAAAGCACAAGGCTTTTATGATGTAAAAAGGATCCCTATGACCCAAGACTTTACTTACCTTGACAATATCCAGGTGGCAGCAAAAGTGCAGAAATGACCACCAGTTCAATCCTCAGCGTATCTGAGCAGGTCAGTCTATCTGGAAGCTCTGTGAGTCTGTTACCTAAAGCTGGAGAGATAAGAGGGGTGTGGTTCTCTGGTTCTGTCGTCGACTGGGCAGTATAGGTGTGGTCGCTTTTAACCTCTTAACTTTTTTCTCGTTGTTCTTTCTTCCTTTTTTTCTATGTATATAAATTTCACTTTCT